CATTATTATAGGGTTTCACTGCCCCTACAAACCAAAAGAAATCGCATAACAACTCAAAGGACTTGGCACAAACCCGAAGCAAGTACCAAATGACTTTTGGTTGAACCTTAATTTTTTCATCCGAACATCCCGATAAGACACACACACACGCACAAAAGCTGGATCCACTCCTTCCAGGAACAAACCAACAGGACCCTGGACAAAAATATCGAACTTCAAAACATCCAAACGCACAGAAAAGAAAGGACACAAAAAGATAGATAATTTTATTGGTACCTTATGGTGTTTATTCGGTGCATTCTTAACTTGTGTCACCTTTGTTATTCTGACTTATCGTTGTTGTCGACGAATATTGCCATTGCTGTCAGTGATATATAGTAGTATACTATGTTAACACTTAAAGGGGCGGTGCAACGGTATTCAAATGTTTTTTACTGACACTAGTGGAACCCAAGTATACTCGCACGCAACGCCATTGACCAAGAACCATCTTTTTTGTGACATGCTTTCAAGGCAAACAAACAAACGAATTGTTGTGTGTATGTTTATACAGCCGGACGTTAGTCTGCCTTAGTGGGCGACTGGTGTCTTAGCTGTAGATGAGCAATTTAGCCAGTGCGGTACATAAGGTTGTTGCGGGGATCGTTAAAGCTTTTAAAGAAGCATCAGGTGGACTTAAGTTTACATGGGAAATGCCCGTGCTGAACTGTATTTGGTTTTTGGACCTTATGGTCATGTTTTCCAACGACCATGTTTGTTGGAGGTATAGCCCGCGTTTTAAGAAAGGCCTTGTTTCTTGCAAAAGTGCACATTCCAAACTGGTCAAGAGAGGAATCGCGTTAACATGTCTTCAGGCAGCTCTTGCAAAAAGTCGCAAACACCAGATGGACATCAGTTTTGCTCAGCAAGTAAAAAGGCTAAAAAACGTAGGGTACCCACCTAACCTAATTTCGAGCTGCTGTAAGAGCCTACTTAAAAAAAAAAATAAATAAATAAATAAAAAGAACTAACTTACAAGGGGCGGCCAGACAAATAAAGTTAAAAGACGTGTACATGTGATTCCTTATTGGCATAAAGTGTCCCACAACATTAAAAAGATAGCTAGTAGATACGATGTAAACGTTGTTTTTTCAGCCCCTTGCAAGCTCTTAAAAATCTGTTCGATGCTTACACGGCAGAAAAAAAGCACTCTGTTCTAGAAAGCACGCTGTACAGTACACTGAATGTGTGACCAATGTTGTATATGAGATTCCATTAAGATGTAGAAAAGTATATATTGGACAAACCGGGCGCTGTTTTAACGAAAGGGCACGTGAGCATACTCTTTCTGTGCAGAACAACGCGGGGGGACACCTGGCAGACCACTGCAGGCGATGTGCTGACTGTAAGCCTCTTTTGGCTGAAACAAAGTTTTTAAAGAAATCAAAAGACCGAGAGAGAGATTATAGAGGCGTATTATATCAAAAAGAAAGATGACAAATGCGTTGGCACGCCTTCTCTCTATTTGCTTCAGAAAGAAGTAATGTTTCCAGATAGCTGCTTGTGAGAGTGGTGATTGGTTGCAGTGTGGGTTTGGCATACGATCTTGTGTATAAAAGTGACAGTGTTGTTTCTAATAAAATCAGTTGTGAGTTAGCGCCCGTCCTGTCGTCTTTGTGTCTTTATTGTCCTTGTTGTGTTGCGCTTTATAACCTTTTAAATCGGTACAACCGCTAGCCTGGGGTGTTTAACGTGCACCGCGCTGTAGTGACACGCGACCGCACGCCGATACGATGCTCATCCAGATCGAAACAGGCGGGGGTGAAATTATTTCAGGGCATAGCCTCGAGTTATTGATTATAACGAGCCCAAATTGAGTGCTCACACAATGCTCGGGTTAAATCTATGAGCCGCATTCAAATATTGTCACTGGGGGATTATGAAAAGAAAGAAAAAAAAACGCTCGTTTTTATCCTTGAACATAGCGAGGCAAGACAACGAATATCAATACAACGTCACGATGCCGATATATTCTGACGCGCGAAGGCAAGTTGGGCTGCCCTTCTTTTGTAGAACAAAGATGGCTCCGCAGACGGCGCTCGTTACTGGATAAAGGTCCATTGTTAGAATTAACATCCAGTAATGAAGGTGCGAGCGCCCTGCACGTTTACAGATGCTCCCAGCAAAGAATCACAAGTTTGAGAGGGCTACAGCCACTAAATAAGCTTGGCTTAGAGTATCGGCTCTCCGTTCCCCGACATTGTTGTGGGCGCCTCCATTTTGGTTCTTATGCAGAGCAGGCGCAACAGCTGATCGTCATGATTCAAAAGTGCAACTTCCTCAGCATTAGATTTGGTGTTAGAAAGCTCACGTAATATTGCTTTGCTTTGTCGCAAACTGCTTAAACATTTGTGGAGGACGGAAAAGTGTTTTCTATGATTTCAGATAAAGCTTCAGTTTGCTGGCAACAGGCACGTCGCCAGGGGGAGGGGGGCAGAGGAAGGCCCCCCCCTTTCCCGAAATGTTCCATTTTGCTGGGACCTCCTCTCCCCTCTCCCCTCCCCCCCCCCCCCCTGAAACAAAATTCTGGCTACGTGCCTGACTGGCAACCACGATTTCATGGCACAATATGGCGAAGTGTCGTTACTCTGAAGCGTAGCTTATTTAGTGGCACTAGAAAGGACTAGAAGGGGTCACGTGCAGCTATTCAGGAAGCCGTATAGAGCTTTCCGATGTTTACAAACTCACAGTCCAGCGTGTGAGCTTCACAGACCAGCACGTGCGTGTTCGCCGCTTCGGAAATCGAGCAAAGCACGCGCCATAGGCTCGAACACTCAAAATGGCACCGGTCACACGCTCTTTTTTGGAAAGGTCTATTAGCGCAACGGTGTATTAGCGGAGAGATGTTTCGGTGGCGCCCTCGTTTGGTTACCTTTCGTGACGCCCTTACCTTGTGAACAACTGCGATGGTGTTTGTGATGGGCATGGTGGAAGCCTGAAATCATAGCACTCTCAAAGCAATACTGCAAACACCATCAAAATTGTAGCTCTTACATTCCTCTTATTTCCGTCGATGAAACATCCTTCGCTGACGTCATAGTCAGCATTCGGCCAATTGTGGTGGGCCGACCACAGCAACGCTTTCGATCGCTCACGTCGCCAATACCTCTAGAATTCTGTGTCGTAATTATCCGACGCTCTAGGCCAATGTCGTCACTGAACGCTCGTGCTTGACGCTGATAGGCACGCTCCTCGAGCAGCATTTGGTTTTCTTAGCCCCTCTGCTGTGCCTCTTCAAGGAGCTTTTAAATATCAGTAATTTGTCTTGGGCTGTTGTTGTGCGCATATTTTGAATACTCGTGCGTTTTAGGTTCTTTACTCCGTGCTCTACATGAGCCTGTAAGGTGTTATGAATGAAAAAGACCAAGGAGAATATTCTTTTACAAACCTATAAAACAAATTTTCTTTAAAATGCGCTGCTTCACTTTTTATTGTGATATTATGAACGCGGTGTAAAAATTATCGCCCTTTTAAATGTCGTAAAAGATCAACAAAAACGCCCGCAACAATATTTACTCGTTATTTATCTAATTAAATATTAAACCTCTGGCTGAAGTAGTTTGCCCTAGAATTCATAAAAATAGAAGAAATGTGGTTTCAACATCACTTCAGACGTGCATTTTTACATTCATTTTAGTAACTTCAAGACAATTTTCTAGCCTTCATGGTGACATGAGCAATAAAATAAAAGTCATCGATATTCTTCCTAGCGCTACTAAAAATATACGTAACATATTCTGTCGCACCAGTTCCAGCCTAGAGCCACTCTTCACTCCGTTCTTCTATCTGCTAGTGGGCGCCGCCATCTTGGTGCTTAGAGCAGAGCAGACGCAAGCGTCGGTCGTCACAATTAATAAATGCGACTTCCTCAGCTTGAGACACGGTGGTAGAGAGCTTAAGTGGTATCGTTTTTGTCTGTTCCAAACTTTCCTAACATTTCTAGAGGACGTAAAAACATTTCCAGCAATTTTAGATCAAACTTCAAATGACTGGCAACAAAGATTTTAAGCACCTAGACGGCTCAAGTTTCGTTAATCTCAAGCGCAGCGTATTTAGTGGCTCTAGTTCCACCCATTGACTATTGCAACCAGGCATTTCTCGCACAGACCATACCAGAAAATGGCCGTATATTTTCTATTTTTTTACTTGTCATTCTTTTATCGTGTGAGTGAATAAATTCTGACAGTGCTATAAATGGTCATTTCCAGAAGATAGCGTGTATATGTAATAATGCTAATACTGCGAAACCCGCCGTTTAGTTCAGAACCAGAAGTGGTTGAGGCTATTTGCACACTGGCACCACCGCTGTTCATCTCACGCAACAAAAAGCGAATATTTAGTATTTCTGGCCCACTTCCTCAAGTGAACAATGTGCTTGTGCTGGGCTGTGGACATGGCGTTGGCCTCGGCTTTGGAATCAACTAAACGACGTTGCAGTGATTTCAGAACTTCGAAGGGGGTTCCTGCATTTTTATGGAGATATATAACTTTTTTTTCTCTAATATAAGAGCGCTATTTGCTAAACATACCCTTACTGAGGGCTAGGCGAGAAAACAGAAAACTAAAACAAAACAAATAAACTCAGAAACGTTACACAATATATGTTTATTTCTCGTGCTAAAAACATTGTATTTGTGCAGACACTTAATAGGTGTCTTTAAGTCATTTTCAAATATCGTGTCGCATAAAATACAAACACGTTTTGCACGTTCCCAAAATTTGTAGCCAAATGAACTGTCTTTTGTAAGAAACGTTCGAGCGCCTTCGCACAATTAAGGATAATAAAGCATTGCGTAATTTAAATGAAACTATTGAACGGTAGTAGTTTTCTTCAAATTAGCAACATAGGTTTTTTGTTTCATCGGCTCCCGTTGCAAAACGTACAGTTGCACTCTCACTTTTTCTAATAAACGCATCCTGTTTTCATAAGGACTACATTTTACAAACATTCGTATCTCTGTTTGTCGACGGCATATCTCTAATACGAAAAACCTTCGACGCGCATTTGCCTAAAATTGAAAAGCACGAATTCGTCCGCGATACACTACAAAACGTGAGCCAAGGCAAAGGCCATCGGCTGAGTCGCTCACGAACTGAGCAAAAAGAGGCGACCTACGAACCCAGCTAACACCGAAAACACCACCAGAGTCCAGACCATGATAGGAGTCTGGCCGTCGACGTAGGCATCCTCAGCGAGAAAAAAATTGACGGCCACCGGCCTGCCCAGGCCATGTTCCAGTGCAAACTTGTTCATGTTAAAGTTGAACCTCTTCTCGGGCGGAACTGTCAAAGTGTGTGGCGACGCGATGGTCCCCCTTTGTTTGTAGGCCAGGAAGACGTACCTGTGCGGACCGGAGCCTAGCGGAGGCTTGGGACCACGGTAGTTCATCAAGACCGTGGCCCTCCTCAGATTCACGGGCGCTTTCACATCTCCCGCGGCCACGTTAACGACGAGCCAGTGGAGGATCGGTCTGAATTTGGGATCGCTTCTGCTGGGAGCATCCGGATCGAGCATCGCTATGGCGTACACCGCACCTTCTTCTCTCGGGAACACTAAGTCCGTCGGATGTTCAGAAGCTTGGTGAGGCGTGAGGGCGGTTCCCATGAGTACCTTTCCCGCCGGGAAGGCGACTTCGAAGACTGCGTCGGGAACTGCGTCGATCAAGTCCGGCACGATCCCACTCTTGGAGACTTGCGCCAGTAGGTCCGCTTCTTTCTTGTCAAGAGACCTTCTCCAGGCGCAAAGATGAACGTCCACTAGTAACAACAGTACCAAGAGTCTTGGGCACGAGGAACGCATCTTGGGCAGTATTTTTGCTTCCACCAGAGACGAAACTTACGTGCGGTTGTGGCCCTCCAATTTCGCGTGGCGGCTAGCGGAACAAGCTCATAAATTTCGAGAAAGAGTGGCGCGGGAAGGTGAGAGTTGTAAGTGGCGGCGCATACAAGGCCGAGGAGATGTTTCGAGGTCAATGTAACCGGTCTTGCAGAGGCTCCCAGCAGAAAGAGGGCCACATTTCCGCCGTCGCTGCCGCCGGAGCCTCCGTTGCTCGCAACGGAAAACGCACGCTGCCACTTCGTCGTCTTCGTCTTTGTCCGCCATGCCGCTGAATGAGTATATCTCCCGCAAATTCGACTTCCGAACCCAGAAATCCTGGGTTCAACCTCACCCCTGCCCGTTTCGATCAGGATCAGAATCGGAGCTGCGTGCGGTCATGTATCGCTGCTGCGTGACGCACGTTAAAGACCCCAGGCTATCAGTTGTACAGCACTGGCTACGTTTCTCATCTCAAGGGAGTAACAATGTCGCCATGTTCAGACTGACCATAGGCCTTCTGCGTTACCCGGAGGGTGCTGCTGAAAGTACTTGCTAGGACGTGTTTTGGGCAGTACAACTTGAGCGCCTCAAACTGCGTCATTGTAGACACAGTCTGCTCTGGCACGGAATGCGATCACGAAGACAGCACAAAAACAACAGAAATTCGAACGCTGTCGATGCACAGGTCAGAACTAAGACGCTGAAGGCATGGTTCACACATCTGCGTTGGTTGCGTTTGCATGCAATCAAAATGACCAAAGTCACCGGAAGGAGTGTTCGCCGTGCAAAGCATGGCAGGCGATGCAAGGGGTAGCTTCGCGAAGCAATTAGGGCAAATCAAATATATTACTTCAAACTGCTTCAATTAATCCACAGAAATAGAACCTACTTAACGCCAGAAAGTTAACTAAGACCAGTGTACGATATTCGACGACCGAAACGTAAAGTACCCATAATACGAACAAATTACGGTCGACAAACTGTAGCCTTCAAGACTGCTACAATTTTAAATCGTGACGAACTTGAATTAAATTTTGACGTATCAATATCCCAATTTAAAACAGATTGTAAAACAAATTTACTGTGCAGTGCTCTCAGATTTTCCTAGAGACTGCTCGTCTTTCTTGAAACTGCAATCATATTTTGTTAGCAATGATCTTACTTTTCTCGTTACTTTATTTTTCGAACGGTCTTTTCAGTCTATACAAAGTTATTGTATAAAAATGTTATTTGTATTTTGAAATTTTTTTTTTTGTAGCTTCATGTTTTTGTCATAATTTTGTCAAATTATGTCTTGTATAAATTTGTGTAAAACTGTTGTGATCCAGAGTATTGGATCATACCGCGTATATGTATCTAATACTTTTCTGTTTTAGTATGTCTAGGCTATAAAACTGTACATTTGGCAGTTTTAGATTTGGCTATTGAACTTATATAAATTTAATGTATATGTACTTAATATATATGATATATAATATGTATATTATGTATTGTATATGTAGGTTGATGCCCGATGCATTACGAGAGGGGGTTAAGCCCTTGTCAGGCGGTCGTGCCTTTAGCCTTAGGACCTGTTCAGACACTCGCGTTTGAGTGCGTTTGACTGCGTTGCGTCTAGAACCGAAAGCCAGTCACCGGCATATCTGTGCTTCGTATGAAGCGTCGAATCCAATTCAATGAACCATCTTGGCACGCGATATAAGCAGCAAGGATGTCCTGGTTTGTCGCGGCCGTAACGCAGTCGAACGCAGTCAAACGCAACTGTCTGAACCAGACTTTAGGCCCCCTCTGCGTAAAATGTATCCGCAGACACAAATAAAGAAAAAACATTCATGAGTCACGGTTGTTGCGGTGTTTTGGTCGTTACGGTCGTTTCGGTTACATGCGAACGCAGCCATTGCAAATGCGTGAAGCAGGCTTAGCAAAGTGAGCCAAGAAATGCCGTTTCACGGGTTTCGGAGTAAAATGATAGAAAAAAAAACGAAAAAAAAAACGTCGTGACGCCAGATACTCTGACGTGGCCAAACAGATATAGGAAACGTGTACTGGAGCGGGGGGGGGGGGGGGGGGTATAAATCTGGCAATTTCGAGTGTCTTATGACGTTGAATCTAGCCGTTTTATTGGAAGTCCAAAGCTGTTTGTCCGTTCTTCAGGACTACACAGGAAAAAAAAATTAGAAAAAAAGCTTAGCCAAGGCTCCACAAGTAGTACGCGGCCCAGTCATGTGAGCTTGTACTACCCCAAAATGAGGGTGGCACTGTTCGCTCAAAGCTTCACCGCGAGATGCGTACAGAACTTTACAAAAAAAGAATTCCGGGCCGGTTCCATTTTTGGAGCCTTTGCTTATGGCCATAGCCTCCTCTGTACTGACAAAGCCTGGCAGATCGCCACGAAACGCGGCCGCCGAAATAAAAAAAAAAAAAAAAAATAGAGCGGCAGGCAAAAGATGAGAGGAGAGCCCCGTGACGGGGACCTCGCTGTGGCGAGACGCCGAAGCACACTTGTCCCGAGCGATGGAATGTCTGCTCGTGCTCCTTGCGTTCCTCGCGCTATACCGCTGCCTATAACTTTGGGTTTGAAAACCCTGTTTCGGGTCCTCGCTGCAGCAAAAGCTGTGCGCTGACGATCAGGTTCCCCTAGAGTTCCTGTATAGGCTCCCTACCCGCTCATTCGCACTGGATGCGAATCCGCGTTCGCAAACGGTTGTGAACGCGGTTGCATAAAGATCCAGTACAATTGCATGCACAATTGATGTCATCGGGTGCGCGTGCAATTGTACTCGATCTTTATACAACCGCGTTCGCAACCGCTTTGCGAACGCGGATCCGCTTCCAGTGTGAATGAGTGGTACGGGAGCCAGAGTTGCGCGTTCATCCCAGTAGCGCCGTCTTTCCTGCACAGCATTTTGATCCTGCTCCTCACGAGACTGAATTCGGCGAATAGCGACGCCGCGCGTTCGAGGCGCGCGGCGCGCTCAAAAGCATGGGTACGTACGGCGGGGCGCGTGCAACCTCTACTTTCCTGCACGGCACTTGATCCGGCTCCTCAGGTGATCGGATCTCGGCGTATAGCTGCGCGGTCTATACAGAGTTTCTGTATAGGCTCCCGCAGGGAGCCTATACAGAAACTCTAGGTTCCCCTTACCGCTCATTCACACTGGAAGTGGATCCGCGTTCGCAAAGCGGTTGGGAACGCGGTTGTATAAAGATCCCGTGCAAGGTCACGAGCACTTGATGTCATCGAGTGCGCGTGCAATTGCGCTGGATCTTTATACAACCGCGTTCCCAACCGCTTTACGAACGCGGATCCGCTTCCAGCGTGAATGAGCGGTTAGATTCCCGCAGAGCCGTTTATTGGGAGAGTTTGGCCATTATTTGGTTTGAATAGGCGAGCATCTCATAGCGAACCACAGGACGCGAAACAGCCGCTAGCGGCGCTAGCGCTAGCGTGGATATAGGGTGCCTACATGTCTGTCTGTCTCAGGGTGAAGACATCCATTGTTCCCCTGAATGTGCTAGTGCGTGACGCTCTCGCGCACTCGGTGCGTGACTTGGGCGGCAAAATGGCGCCTATGTATTAGCCAAAGCTAGACGCTCGAGCTGAGTGACACCGGTTTGCGCGCACTTCAAAATGCATAAAAAAACGAATGGGCGGAAAAATGGCTGACATGTCACCACTCAAGCAAACGCGCGTGTGTATGAAGGCACTCTACGTGGATATCGACTGATTCCTTCTTTGGCTAGCACGCGTGCAAGCACCTCGAGGTTGAGCGTGGCTGCGTAGAGGCTTGTGGTTGCTGGTGCCTGTGATCTTGAGCTTGACGACGGGCAACGCGTTGGATAAAGGCGCTCGTGTATCCGTTCTTTTTGAGATCAGCACAGACGGTTTTTTCCTCCTTCCTTCTGTCAGCCTCAGACGAGCATATAGTCTTCGCCCTAGACAGCAGTGTCCTAAATACCAATGCTTTGTGGCAGGCTGGGTGATTGGAATCAAACTGGAGATAATGTAAGTATGCGTGGGCTTCCCTGTAGTTTGAAAACTTCAACTCTTCCTTCCTTGATGCGTTGGCCGTCGTCAAGCTCGAGATCAAGACACCAGCAACCACAAGCCTCTACGCAGCCACGCTCAACCTCGTGCATCTGCGTATCCTAGATCAAAGAAACAAGCGAGGCGCTTGTACGCGTCTTAGCCAAAGAAGGAATCAGCGTGGCAAACAGGTCGATGTTCACGCTTGGGTTACTCATGCCCCGCCCGAAAGAAAAAACGCAGGGCGTGGTTTATAAGATTCCTTGTGCAGATTGTCCAGCCACTTACATCGGCGAGACAAAGAGCTTTAAGAAAAGAATACGCCAACACAAAAACGGCGTTCGCAAGCTCGACCACCAGCGCAGCGTAGTCGCTGAGCACTGCGAAGTCAAAGACCACCGGATTTATTTCGACAACACCAGCATTATCGACGCAGCGACGAACAACCGACATAGGCTTTTCATCGAGTCCTGGCACATTCAAACGACACCAGGCAACATAAATAGGTGCCTTGGTGCTTTACCAACAATGCATGGGAACGGGCTTCGCCATATTCGTGAAAGAAGAAGACCGAGAAATGCGCCAGATCCCTGAGAGAAGAAAAAGAAGACCGAAAAACGCCGCTCCTCAGGGGCCACAGTCGAACCTGACGAAGGACCAAGTCGGTTCGAAACGTAGGGCTCCTACATGTTTAGGAATTGGTTGGTTGCCATATTTTCATAATTGTATTTCCCAACCAGAGAGATTTCTTTCGAATGTTTAGTTTGAAGACGGGATGGGATGCCTTTTAAAATGGAGGTTTTAAGTTATCATATAAACAGTATAGACGCTTTACACACGCGCCAGATTGAGCCGCCATAGCCGCCCTTCTCTTGTCTTACCGAGATGCCGAGCCACTGAAGCGGGCGTTGACGGGTCTTCACAAGGGCCTATGCTGGGCACAAGAACACAGTAGCATCTAAAATGGCAATAACCTGTCCTGCTGTGGTAATGATGAAGTGAAGCGAACGGAATAAGAGGG